ATATATACACACACACACACACACACACACACACACACACACACACACACACATATATATATATACACACACAAGAGCTCTAGCTATCTGTTGTAGGGCCAGTGTTTTCCCACAGAGACCAGGACTTGGTGTCCGCGGGCGTGTATAGCTGACTGAGGCCTATGGCTGATTTAGGCCTTCAGTGTATAAGCAAGGCTGCTCCCGACATTCAGGTCTACCCATGTGGCTGCAAATATAGACTTCATTTTTTATGCCCGATTAATGGTCTGTTTATTTCCTTTAAATAGAATTCTTTTTCTTTTATTAAATTATTTTTTTATATTCCAGCCAATATCCCCCCTCCCTGTCCCCCTTCCACAGTTCCACATCCAAATCCTCCTCTCCCTTGTCTCTGTGAAGGTGCTTCTGTGCTCAACACCCGCAGCTTCCCTGGGGCCTCAAGTCTCTCCAGGATTAGGAACATCTTCTCCAACTGAGGCCAGACCAGGTAGTCCTTTGCTGTGTATACACACACACACACACTATATATGGTGTGTCAAAGGGGGATTACAGCTATCTTTCTCTAACGTGAGAAAAAAAGTTTTAAATATAGGTGCCTGGAGAAATGATAAATGTTTAAGAGGACATACGTTTAACCTAAATATCACACTGTAGACAGGTATTAAAACAGCACACAATACACCCCATATCATGTATAATTTTCCTGTCTGTTTTACAACAAACTATGTACATTGTTTAAAACTCATCTTCTACATTTAACACTTTGTGGACACAGCTTCACCACCTATAATCTTTGAGAATTTCTGACATCACAAAAAGTCAAATATAATCTTAAACTGCACAAAGTAAACGCACTTTGCATTTACACAGGCTGTCTCCAGTCAGACGACCACCCTCATCTTCTCTCTGCCCAGTGAAAGCCATGAAATCCCTCACTCAACAATGCCAGAAACCAGAAAGACACTCCCCATCAAAAACTGAAGACCAGTATTATGGCTGAGATGAGGAAAACAGCTAACTAGACACTACTGCTTTCAAACGAAGATGCCACTTCAAAAGAGAAGAGTTCACTTTCCACTATCAGCTACAAACAGATTACCCATGGGCATTTCAAATCTGGCTTTCATGTTTCATGAAAATAACCTACAGCATCCGCTTAGCTGGTTCCCTTGTTGACATCTTACACTGTGTTTATTCTTATTTCACATGCAGTGCAGAAGCTTGAAATCAAACATGTAAAGAGTAATTGGTGAACTTTATTTGACTGGTATTTGGATGTGCAGAGTCTCCCTGCTCATCGTGACCTCTTGTGTTAGTACTTCCCAATGGGCCTTCAATATTTTATTGAAAATGAATTCTCAATCATCTACATATTCAAAAGCATATCCATGGTGCTGGAAAGATAGCTCAGCCATTAAGAGCACTGACTGCTCTTCCAGAGGTTCTAAGTTCAACTTCTAGCAACCACATGGTGGCTAACAACCATCTGTAATGGAATCCAATGACGCCTTCTGATGTGTTTGAAAGACTGTTACATATGCTAAAGCTAATATGAATGATTTGAAATTATTCATACTGTTACCACATTCAATCACTGGTGAATAAAGTTACTATTCACAAAATTGCCTTTATTAAAATATAGAGAAATTTTAAACTATGTTAATGTAACAAAAACAGTTGCTAATGTGATGCAGAATGAAATTGAGGAAGCATACAAACTCTTGCAAAGCAGAAAGTTCTCTGATGTAAGTAATTAATCGAACATATTATGTTTATATGTGAAGTTTATCAACCCAAACACAACAGTTATAAGTAAGAAAACAGAACTCTTAAATATACTATTTCTAGATATATCCTGGGTATGTCTTTTCTAGATTATACAGCCATTAATTTTATCAAGCACTCACACTACATATAAATTAACTGTTCATGAAACAAAACTTACTACAGTGCCAGGAGAATAAGCAAATCTCATATCACAATCATATAATCTTTTCATTATGGGAATTGATTTCTCAGCAATAACAAGGTCAAGGTGAGCCCACTGTTAGTGAACGGTATAAGATGGAATACAATAGCATGTCAGTCTGACAGACTAAGGAAAACTTTGAGATAGAACTAGTAACGGTTTTCTGAGAACCACCAAATTGATTTCCAGAGTGATTGTATAAGTTTGCACTCCCACCAGCAATGGAAGAGTATTCTCCTTGCTCAACAACCTTGCCAGCATGTGCTATCACTTGAGGTCTTGATCTTAGCCACCCTAATTGGTATAGAAGGAATCACAGAATTGTTTTGATTTGCATTTACCTGATGACTAAAAACTTTGAACATTTCTTTAAGTGTTTCTCCGACATTCAAGATTCCTCTGTTGAGAACTCTACTTAACTCTGCACCCCATTTTTAATTGGGTTACTTGGTTTGTCGGTGTTTACCTTCTTGAATTCTTTATAAATTTTGGATATTAGCTCTCTGTCAGATGTAGGGCTGGTGAAGAGCCTTTCCCAATCCATAGGCCTCCGTTTTATCCTATTGACAGTGTTTATTGCCTTACAAAAACTTTTTAAGTATTGTGAGATCCCATTCATCAGTTGTTAATCTTTGCACCTGATCCACTGGTATTCTGTTCAGGAAGTTCTCTTCTGTACCAAGGAGTTCAAGGCTATTTCTCTCAACTAGAAGAGATCATCCTGAGGGAGGTAACTCAGTCACAAAAGGATATGCGTGTTTATATACTCGGTTTATTTTTTTCTTTTTTTGCCGCTTAAGTCCTATATAAACTTTATTGTATGTGTGTTCCTTTTTTTTTTAT